CTCTGCAGGTGATATCATGCATGGACAGACCTAAATTTATAGTATTGGATCAGATTTCTCTTCTGAGCTCTAGACACATGTATCTAATTATTGCCACCACCAAATGGATGTTTTAGTTGGCATGGCTAACCCTGACCCCTTGATCTTCCCCATCTGCAAATTCACTCCTCCCTCAGAATTCCCCATCCCAGTAAACAGTACTTCCATTGACTCAGCTGCCAGAAACCTGGGAGTCATTCTTGACTTCTTCCCCTTCCTCTTATTACCAATCCTATTGATTCTACCTCTGAAATATATCTCAAATCTATTCACTTTCCTTCCTGTCCAATGCCATGACTCTGGGCCAAGCCAGCATCGTCTCTCACTAATACCACCTTCATTTGAGAATGCAGAGAGCTCTTTTAAAAACATAAATTGGGTCAATGACCATTCCTTGTACCTATGATTAAATTCAAAACCCCTAGTATGGCCTGCAAAGCCCCTGCCTCCCAGCATCATCTCCTGTTCTCTCCCTTTCCCAGTGCCCTTCAGCAACACTGGAGTTCTTTGTGTACCTTATACATGAGACGCTTTCTTGCCTTGGAGCCGTTGAGTGTGCCATTTTTCTGTGCCTGGAATGCTTTTCTCATTTCGTTTTGCCTGGCTAACTCCTTCTGGTCAAACTTCAGATCTCAGGCTAAAGGTCATTTCTTTCACTCACAGGCTATGCCCTGCCCTTTCCATTTGGTTCCTTTGTTAGGTTACTTAATAATACTCTCTTCATTTCCTTTGAAGGGTTCTGCACTATATATGTTGTATATATGTGTACATGCATATATATACATAAATATATGTGTGTGTGTGCTTATGTGTTTAATATCTATACTGCAAACTGAGAGCAGGAACTGTGTCTCTTTTAGTAATTTATTATTTTTTTAAGATTTTATTTATTTTCAGAGAGAGGGGGAAGGAGGGAGAAGAAACATCGATGCATGAGAGATACATTGATCAGTTGCCTCCCACACACCCCAACCAGGACCTGGCCTGCAACCCACTGGGAATCAACCAGTGACCTTTTGGTTCACAGGCCAGCATTTAATCCACTGAGCCACACCAGTCAGCCCTTTTTTAGTTATCTCTTTCACTACTTTTTCTTTAGTGCTTAGAACATCTTAAATGAAAACTTTAGCTGCTCTAAAATGGACAAAGGAAGATGCAGAATAGTATGTTCAATATTATTCGATATTTGTTTTTTTAATATGTATGTTTTAGATGTTAATCCCTTATCAGATATATGATCTGCAGATATTTTCTTCTATTCCATAGGTTGCCTTTTCAAGCTATTAACAGTGCCCTTTGATATGCAGATTTTATCAAAGTCTAATTTATCTGTATATTCTTCTGCTGCCTGTGCTTTTGATGTCATATCTGAGAAATCATTGCCAAGTCCAGTGTCATGAAGCTTTGCCCCTGTTTTCTTTTAAGGCTTTTATAGTTTTTGCTCTTACACTTAGGTTTCTACTCCACTCGACTTAGTTTTTGTTTATGACATAAGGCAGTGATTTTCAAGCTTTTTCATCTCATGGCACACATAAACTAACTACTAAAATTCAGTGGCACACCAAAAAATACATTATTGTTTTGTTGCTCTGACAAAAAGTAGGCATAATTTTGATTCATTCACTTGAGACAGCTATTGTTATGTTGGCTGTTGTCATTATTTTTAGCTGGCAGTCTAAAGGGAAAGAGCTCCACGCCCCTGACTGAACAGTCCGGGATTGCAGTTTTTGCACACTCCTGCGGCACACCCGTGTGCTGCAGCAGACGGTTCAGAATCGCTGGTAGAATGTAAGAGTCCAACCTCGTGTTTTCATGTGCGGATATATACTTTTCCCAACACCATTTGGTGAAAAGACAGTCCTTTCCTTGTTACCCGGTCCTGGCACCTTTGTCAAAAATCCTTTGGCCGTATATGTAAAAGTTTAGTTCTGGGCTCTCCATTTCTTTGTTGATCTTTACCTGTACATCTGTCTTTAGGCCAATACTACACTGGAGGTTTTTTTTTTTTTAATTGTGTTAAAATATACATAACATAATTTACTATTTTAACCACTTTAAAAATATTTATGTATTTTTAGAGAGAGGGGAAGGGAGGGAGAAAGAGGGAGGAAAACATCAGTATGAGAGAGAAATATTGATTGGTTGCCTTCTGTATGCACCCTGACTGGGGACCAGCCCACAACCCAGGCATGTGCCCTGACTGGAATCGAACACGAGACCTTTTTGCTTTTCAGGACAACGCCCAACCAACTGAGCCACACTGGTCAGGCCACTTTTAAGTGTACAGTTCAGTGACATTAAGAAGATTCACACTGTTGTGCCACAATTACCACCATCCCATTGTTTTTTAATACTGTGTTCTGCATAGTATTATATATTCTATTACATATATGTATATGTGTGTGTGTATATATATATATACACAAATTATAGTTTATTTATCAGTCTTCTGTGGAAGGGACACTCAGTTGTGTTTAGTCTTTTACTATTACAAGTAATGCTATCACAAATAACCTAATATAAAAGTCATTTTTGCTTGTGTGAGTATATCAATAGAACAAATTCTGGAAACAAGTTTTGAATCATAATGCTATGCTTTTGTAATTTTTGTTAAATGGACAAAGTGCCTTTCATGGAGGTTTTATTAATTTACCCTCAGTATATTAGCTTTTAAAAAAGCTTTCCTACTTGATAGGTAAAATATATTCTTAGTGTTGTTTGAATTTTCACTTTGAGGCTAGACATTCTTTTGGTTTGGTTAAGAGCCATTTGGTTTTCTTTTCTGTGAACTGCGTGTTTATATTCATGCCTATTTTTCCATTAAGTTGTTTATCATTTTTTTATTAATTTGTAAGAGTTCTTTGTATTTTAGGGAAATTAACCATTTGTCTGTAATATAAGTTGCAAATATCTTTTTAGCTTGTTGATTGACGTATAGCACTTGTAAGTGGAAATGGAAGGAAAATTCCATTTTCTTTCATCACCTGTCACGGTCAATGAAATCCCAGAGATTTTTGGAGTGTTTTTTACCCAGTCCTACAGAAAGCTCTGCCAGTTGCAAAGTAATACCCAACTGGTGAATAAGATTCTTATCAATATCTGATTGTTAAAGTTTAAACAGTGATAGGAAGGGAAGAGGCCTTAGAAATCTCCTCACACAGTCACTTAATTTTGTAAGTTAGGCCAGTAAATGACGTGATATAACCCAGGTTCCATAGCAGGTGAGCAGTAAGGCCAGAATCCGGATTATTTCTGACCTCCATTTTGTGTGAGGTTATTCTATTTAACAGAATACTGAGAACGTTCTAAGCTTCTGAAGGTGTTTATGAATTGAAAGTTGGTTTTGGTAGAGAAATAGCGTCTTGCCCCCAAAATTTGGAGAACGCATGCGTGCACCAGCTCGTTTCATTTTGTCTCTGCTTCAGAGAGAGCGAGATGGGTTGCCAGCGGCTCTGCCGGAGCCATCCGAAAAAACTCAGCCAGGGTTCTGGTTCTCGCCCCCTCTGCCCGAAGGGGCACGGCCTGGTCCACAAGTGCGGCCGCGGTCTGTGCTGCCCGTGTTGCCGCCCGACACGAAGGAGAGAGGCTCAAGTTGGACTAAGTGAACGGGTCCTTCGAGATACCTACCTTACCACAGAATGGCTAGGCCCTTGTACATAAAATAAAATTTTTTAAATAAAAAAGAAAGAAAGAAATGGATTCTTCCCATTCTATGCTTTGTTTGTTTGTTTTTGCTCACCTCCTTATCCTTCCCCAAATGTCTTGTGAATTCTGAAATTCTTCCTGAAGGCAGAGAAACAGCGGCCTTTTAAAGGTGCCCTTTTCTGGGGTTGGACCGGTGCTGAGTTCTAGGTGTGCAGACCCAAGAAGAAGCACATGATGGGGGTTTTCCGAGTGATGGTGCCACTCTCAGTGCTTCACTCAGACCCTCGAGGAGGCCAGCTTAAGGTTGTTCTGGGTGGGCTTGGAGGTCTGCTGCCTCCTGGACCTCCCAGGCCTTGTGTGCCTTCAAATGGAGAAAACTTGATCCCCCCCGAAAAGCCCTGGGACTTCGCTTGTTTCTCGGGGATCTTTTGGTCCCAGTAATAAAAGTGATAATATAAAGTGATAAAAAGTAATAATACTGTTATATCTGCCTGTCTATCAAATCTAAGATGCCCCTGATCATAGGCTGTGCCACTGTTTTATGCGTCACTATGAAAAAACACTGCCAGTTAAAAGGACTGGTGCTTTCTGAAGACATAGACTCTTCTCACATGCCACCCTTTATGTGCATAAAAAAATAAAATAGTTTTTCTCCAAATGCCAAGTCATAGTGTAATCGCTTTAAAGACATTTTAAGTTGCAATGTGATAGTACCATCAAATACATTTAACTGAGCCAAACTGACAATGCCAGTCAATACTTAGACCAAATTCACACGTACTCAGATAATGTGACTACCTCTAGGTTGACAAGAATTAAAGATTTCCTGGGCAATAATGTGGGGGAAAGATGCATTCTGGGATTAATGCGGTGCTATCATGCAGTGCTATATCCTTTGACTATTCCCAGGGCAGTTTTACACGTGTACTCTCATTCAGTCTTCTCAGCAGCCTGGAAAATAGCTATAGAAAGCTATTTTTCCAGATAAGGAAACTAATCTTAAAGAGGGTAAGCGACTTGCCAGACATCATAGTTAATAAGTGATGAAACTGGGACTTAAACCCCAGAGTCTCTGCTCTACCCAGTTGTTTCCCAGCATTTGGCCCCACCAGCTCCAATATTTCTGTTGTATCTGAGCAGATGACTGGAACAGCACCAGAGGTGAGGGCTGCTCTGATTCTCTGCTTCTTCTGATGGAGTTGTTAAAGACAGGTGCTGTCAGAAATAGGTTTGCAGAAGTAGTTTTTTTAAATATTGAAACAGTAAAAATCTAAGTTTAATTTGAGGACCTTTTCTTTCTCCCCACTTCTCTGAAGGTACCAGAAAGCCGCTGAAGAAGCAAACATGGAAAAGAGGAGAAATGTGAGTATTCAGAGCACCGGGCACGTGGAACTTCAGGAGCAGAGCCTGTGTGGCCCAGCCACCTGCAGCATCTGCAGGGCTTGGGCTCCATGTCAGCTGAGCTGGGCACTTGTGCCAGCTGCTCTGGTTTGCGAGCCATTTGCTCAGGAGAACTTGGCTTAGGTGCAGGGAGTCTTATTTTTTCACAAACGTTCTCTTTTTGAACCACTTTTTCTTTCCGGAGTTCAGCGAAGGACAGAAGGCCAAGTGCTTTGCCTAAGGTTAGTAAAATGGCTCACCACTTCCAGCTCAAATTAGGATACAGGGTTTCCTAGGCTGCCATCGTTTTTTTCCAAACCAAACAACCAGAATTTCTGTACCTCTCTGCATTCAAATGGTAGCAGCTGTGCCACTGTTGTCCTCTTCTAGGTCAGGGGTGTCAAACTCATTTTCACAGGGGGCCACATCAGCCTCACGGTTGCCTTCAAAGGGCCGAATGTAATTTTAGGACTGTGTGAATATAACTACTCCTTAACTGTTAAGGAGTTGAAATTACATTAGGCCCTCTGAAGGGAACCTTGAGGCTGATGTGGCCCCTGGTGAAAATGAGTTTGACACCCCTGCTCTAGGTTCTTTTTTAAAACACACTTCCTGACCCAGTCTAGTTAGCAAGTTTCTTAGCTGCAGGATCCATCAAAGGCTGAAACCTCAGAACAAGCTCTCTGCTCATCCTCATTCTTTACACTCCCTGCTAGATAACTTCCAGCTGGGCTGTGTGGTATAATTCTTTTGAAATCTTACTTGATTTAATCTTACAGAGGGGAAAGACATATTTGGGCAAGAATTCTTTAATTTGGCTGGCATTACAAAAACATCCTCCTGGCAGTTTTCAGTACCTAACCTATTTAAATTAGTATATAACATGCCCCTTTCACTTTGTTCTAAGAGGGGTAATGCTAAATTAGTCCTTAGCTTAGTTTTCCTATAATTCAAGAAATGGATCCCCTCGGGTACATTGTAAGAAAAAGCTACCATCATTTTACTCAAATGCTAGTTTCTTTTTACTCCTTCTCTTTCTCCCTTGCCTGTTATTTCCCATTTTTCTCCTTCCTTCTTCCCTTCCTTCCTTTCATTCATTCATTTAGCAAGTATTCACATAGCACCTAGTATGTACCAGGTCCTGTTTTAGGCATTCATACAGACTACATCTCTGCCACCGTGGAGCTTACATTCTAGTAGAAGAAACAGACAAAGTTATTGTGACAGGTGATGACATTAGCTATGAAACATATGCAGTAGGTAAGAGAGATAGGGTGTAGGGTGGTCAGGGAAAGCCTCTGATAACTAGACATTTGAGCAGAGAGCTGAGGACATGAGCCAGGGAGAAGAACAATTCAGACAGAAGAGCACATGCAAAGGTCCTGAGGCAGAAATATTTTTAGTGTGTTTGGGGAACAGGAAGAACAAGATGATATAGGGTCATTGGGAGGACCTGGACATTTACCCTGATTGAATGGGGACCTTTGAAGGGTTTGTGTACAAAGCTGAATTAAATTTTAAAAAGAGGAGGGGCTAGAGCTACAATGGCAGAAACATAATGACCAATTACAAGACAATTACAGTGATTTAAACAAAAGATGATAATGGTGATGAGAAGTGGTCAGGATTTATACTGGGGGTAAAGAGAAAGAGAAGAATCAAGAATGGCACTAATGTTTTTTAACCAAACATCTGGAAAAATGATATTAACTGAGACAAGGAAGACTGGAGTAAAAGCAGGTTTAGAGAAGAAAAAATAGTAGAAGCTCAGCTTGGGACATATTAAGTGTAAAATTTTTTAGTAAGATATCTAAGTGGAGATGTCAAATAGGAACTTGGATGTACAGATCTAGAATTGGAAGAGGTCTGGGCTGGAGATGATGAGCTATGTATCAAAGACACAGTGGTTTTTAAAGACACATGATGCATAAGACTACATAGGGAGTGAGTGTAACTAGAAAAAGGCTTGAGGACTGAGCTCAAGGGCACCTTAGTGTTTAAAGTTTGGATAGATAAGGAGGAACCAGCAAAGGAAACAGAGAGAGAGCAACTGGTGAAATAGCAGTGAAACGAGAGAATGTCAGGAATCAAGTGAATAATGTGATTCTAAAAGGAGAGTTCTCAACAGTCAAACACACAGATAGGCTGACAATTGACCATTGGACTTTTTTCTTAAGATTTTTAAAATTTGTTTTTAGAGAGAGGGGAAGAGAGGGAGAGAAACATCAGTGTGTGGTTGCCTCTCTTGCACCCACCACTGGGGACCTGGCCCAAAACCCAGGCATGTGCCCTGATAAGGAATTGAACCAGCAATCCTTTGGTTCACAGGCCAACACTCAATCCACTGAGCCATACCAGCCAGGGCTGACCATTGGATTTGACCACATGAAGGTCATTGGTCATCTGGTGCTGTTTGGGAGGGATAGGATGAAGGCCCGATTGAACTAGGCTAAAGACAATAGGGCGACAGAAGTTGACACCATGAGCATAGACAAACGTTTATGGGGCATCTCTTCAGTACCAGCTGCTTAAAGACATAGAGGAATAAGATGTGGCCCCTGCCTTCAAGGAGGACTGTTCGGAGTTTGAAAAATAAAATTGATAATCCCAGTATGGTAAGTACCATATTAAAGAAACACTCAAGTCCCAACCTGTGTGGCTCAGTTGGTTGGGCATCATCCTGCAAAGCAAAAGGTCGCTGGTGCACTTCTGGGTCAGAACATATGCATGGGTTGCCAGCTCAGCCCCCAGTCTGGGCAAGTGCAAGAGACGACTAATAAATGTTTCTCTCCCTCCCTTCCCCTCTCTCTAAAAATAGATAAATATAACCTTTAAAAAACAAAACATTAAAATAAGAAAAAAGAAAGAAATACTCAAGGTGCTAGGGAGACACATAACCTGGACTATGCCATGTCAAGGAAGGCTTCCCAGAAGTGGTGCCTGATGGAGCCCAAAGGGCAAATATGAATTAGCTTTGGGGGGTGGGGTGCAGAGGAGTGGCGGAGGGAGCAGCACAGGTGCAACATGGAGGTAAAAGAGAACAGGTACCTTTGACAATTGAAAAGGTAATTGTCACATTCACCAAGTTGGAGAATTCAGGAAAAGAAGCAAATTAAAGGATGAGGAATAAAGAGAAGAGAGGAGAGACTTCAGCCTTAGATAAGATTGAGTATAAATGCCTATAGGATTTCCAGGAGAATTAATAGGTGAGGAGAGATATCTGGCTGGAGTTATGGGTTATGAGTCACCAACAGATAGCATGTGGGCGAAACCAGATCACCTACAGAGGACACGTACGGTGAGCAAAGAAGAGGACCTACAACAGGGCCTCGTGGGGCCCCACCGTAGATCCAGCATTTCTACTTCCAGGAATTATCATTGGTAAAAACTCATGAGTGAAATAAAAGAAAAGAAACTTAAAAGGATACTGTTTGCAGAATATTTTGTAATACTGAAAAATTTGAAATAATGCAGGTATTTATCTGTGGGGGAATAGAAAACTAAGGTACATACATTCAATATAGTAGTGTATTATATTGTATAGTATAATACATATAGTATTATACTGTATAGTTAATGTTTCATGTTTATATATTGACATGGACAGATATCAAAAGCACATTAAATGATTAAAGCAAGGTACAACAGTAAGTACAGTATGAGTTTGTAGGGAAAATGTAGTGTATAAAAATAAAGGGAAAATTAGGAATGTATGCACCAAACCATTGTCAGTGGGTACATTGGTTGGCAGGGGAGGGGGTGTCAAGTAGGGAAAAAGTCACAATCAATATAGATATGAATACATTTCTATATTGATTGTGACTTTTTTCCTACCAATAAATTTATTACTTTTGTAAGTGAGAAAAATAGTAAGTTAAAAATGAGATAACCAAATGAAAATTCTACAGAGGTAATTTGTGGTCATCAGTGCTACCTCAAAAGTGTTTTGGTGGTAGAATCAGAGTGAATGGAAAGTAGAAGTAGCAGCTATAGGTCCCATGCTTTCAAGACCCTTAACCATGCAATGCAGGAGACAGCACTAACTAGAGGAAGACATAAAGCTGAGGGAGGAACTTCTTATTTTGAAATAATGTTGGATTTACAGTACAGTTACTAAAATAATACAGAGAGCTCCCACATACCTCCACCCACCTAGCTTCCCCTAATGTTAACATTTTACACAAGTATGGTACCTTTATCAAAACCTGAGAAATTGCGCTGGCTGGCGTGGCTCAGTGGATTGAGTGCTGGCCTGAGAACCAGAGGGTTGCCAGTTTGATTCCCAGTCAGGGCACATGGCTGGGTTGCGGGCCGGGTGAGAGGCAGCTGCACGTTGATGTTCCTTTTCCTCTCTGCCTCTCTTTCCCTCTCTCTAAAAATAAATTTAAAATCTCTCTAAAAAAACCCAAGAAATTAATATTTGTGCAACACTATTAACTGAACTACAGACTTTATTCAGAGCTCATCACTCTCCACTAATGACGGAGGGTTGCTTTTAAGACCCACTAGACTTGTAAGACGTCTGGATTGTCTCCTGAAGAACAGGGAGAGATGTCCACATAAATTTATAGAAGTGACTGACCAGGTGAAAGAATACTTAAGCATTCTACCATGGAAAGCAAGTCAGAGAAACATTCAGGAGCAAGTGGGTAAATTTGCTCCTTGAGCAAATAGTGGGATGGTCTGAATTCCCACAAATTTTCTCCTCCTTTTCTCTTCCTCTTCCACTTTCACCCAGGACTTGAAAACACAAACCATTCACACCACCATCAGCTGTATTTTCAGGTTCCCTTCAAGCGTGGAATGTGCCACTTCTCGGAACCCATGCTCTTTGGGCACTCGTCTCCAAAACCACTGGTCACCTCTTTTCTGAGAAGCTCTCAGCCTAGCCATTTCTTCCCTTCCTTGGAGGCTGTGTGTCCAGACAGTCCGAGTCCCCAGTCCCACTGCCGTAGCCCGCCAAACGCCCTCCTGCTTTTAATATGAAGGTTCCCGGGCCGATTTCAACATTAGAGCTCTTTTGACCCAGACTCTTCATTTTTCTGGTGAGATAACTGAAAACCAAAGAGAGAGAGGGATTTATTCAAGATCACACATCTCAGAGTGACGGAGCAGGGACTCATCCTAATTGCAGGTCAAATGCTCCTGCAGAGAGGATGCTGTGTTACATCTCCATGGCGTTCCTGGTCTGGATTCAGGCAGCCAGTTATGGTCCAGAGACAAGCCTGCCAAGATTCTCAGCCTCGCTGAGTAGAATGAACAGTGTGCCCAGCGTCACTTTGACAAAGGAGGCCATGAGTAGTGCAGCAACCGATGGGCCCCTTGAAAACTTGCAGCATCCCTGACTTCCCACTGCCTTATTCTAGGAAAATACTGGAGAAAACATTAAAACCTTGGTACAGATGGCATCAGAATTTTACCTCATTTTGTAACCCACACCTTCACTGTAGAAAAGTAGAGACTCTAGAGAGAGTAGGAAGAAGAGTAAGAGACTTTAACCCAAGTTCAGGATTTGGGAGATGCCTGAGGGCTGTGGGTGATCACCACTGTGAGGTACGGCTTAAGGAGTAGTGAGGATCCTCTATTTAATAATTATCGCCACTTACCAAGTGCCCGTTTAGATCAAGTACTACATAACCCGGTTCAACACGGTAGTCTCATTTATCCAGTCTCCACAGTAGCCCTTACAGTATTGATAGTTTCCAGAAATTAAGAAACTTGCCCAAAGTCACTTGACTGGGTGGAGCTGAATTATATAAATAATATAAAACTTTTCTACAAGTTTACTGTAGAAAATACAGTTAAAGAGAAGAAAATATAAGTGAACCATAATCCAGTATTTATTGATTACCCAGGCTATCTCAGACCAGTGCTCTCTTCACTGTGCTGCTTGAACTGCGTTTGGCTGTTGTTTTTGTCCTGTACCTTCTTGCATCACTTTGTTCCCCAGAAAGACTAGCCTCTGATTCTTCTCCACCTTTCCTTGCTCAGGTCAGAGAGGCCGGGACGACTGGCCTGGGAAGCTCTGCCAGGATGACTTAAGGGCGTGGGACCTTTAACGCTGTCAAACTACACAGCCCTGCCCTTTGGCTTTTTGTCCCCACCCCAGCACTTTTGAACTTGTATCCTTAAGTGCTCCTTTTAATAAAAGAGCACATTTACTCCTCCTTAAAATGCTCCCTCAGGGAGTTCTCCACCCAGGCCCTTGTCTGAACACGGCCACTGTTCTGCCACACATCCCTCCTTCCTGGTCCTCACGGTGAAGTGGAAAGAACCATTTTCAAGCTGCTTACAGTAACATCAAAATTATTTCATATTCTGTAGAAGTTTTTTGTGATATGAAAATGATGTATAATTTTACTTTTGTATTTTATTACACAGTGAATACATATTTATTATAAAAAGAAATACAGCCTTGGCTAGTATGGCTCAGTGGTTTGAGTGCTGAAAGGTCGCAGGTTCAATTCCCAGTCAAGGTGTATGCTTGGGTTGCAGCCCAAGTCTCCTGTTGGGGGCATCTTTCACACACTGATGTCTCTCTCCTTCTCTTTCTCCCTCCCTTCCCCCCTCTCAAAAAGTAAATAAAATCTTTAAAAAAATAAAAATCAAAAAAATACAAATGCCCATAATCCATGATTCAAGGGTAACCCATTAATTTCCTGATATTTTTTCTTCCCAAATACTTTTCTTTGTTTATATTTATAAATGTACATGTGTATTAAAAAATGGGATCATGTTGTCTTATAATTCGCTTTATTTCCACTCAAAAGTATCTTATGAGCATCTTTCCATGTTAATAAATCTGTGTTGATCACATGACTTGTCACTGAGAAAAGTAGTGTCCAGTTACCAATGCAAAATGCCAGTTTGATCCTCGGGGCCCCTCTGGGGCAGGGCAGGGGCAAGGGCAAGGGCAAGGCAGGTGAAATCAGAAAGGAGATGACTCATCCGTTGTGGGGCGGCGGGCAGGTAGGCGCAGCCAGGAGTGCTGCTGGCGGGTAAGGTAGCACCAGCTTCCGGAGCTGTTCGTTACCTGAATTCTTTCTTTCCCAGAAAACTTTTCATGCTTCTTATATCTCTCCAAGCCATACATGCTTCTCTCAGTGAATTTTGTCAGCTAAGATTTAAACACTGAAATCAAACAGTTGTTTTTATGTAACTTGTTTTCAAGCCTTGGAGCTACTTGGTGAAGTGGCTCTCAGAGTATATTCAGGAGAGTAATAGGGTGAGAGTCTTAATTCCCAATATAGCTGCTAATCCTGCTTAATTCCCTGAGGTCTTTCAGTCCTAGGTGGTTTGTATTTTCTTTCTTAGTTGAAAGACCGGTAAAGTCACAAACTACAGGTACGGAGGGCAAGAGGGTAGTACTGAAGCTCATGGTTTGTTGGGAAGGTGGTGCTGTCTATTTAGGAGTGCTTTCAGACTACGGAACATTGAATTTTATTTTAATAAGGGTGTTTCCTCTATTACTGGGGGCTGACACTGACAAAATCCAGGTTGTTTTCAACCTGTCTTATATTTTGAAGTTAATTCCATTTTGACCCAGTTGAAAATGAACTCTTCTTAGATGTTTAAATGTCCGTCCTTCAATCAAGAGAGTGGGTGTTGGTATTTTCATATAAAGTCTGGATAATTTTTCAGCCAAAGGATCTATAGAGTAGTGAATTTTCTGATTCCTGAGAATTTACACATGGACAAACATGAAGAGAAGAGCAGGGGGAAAAGAACTGGATTCTTATGTAAAAATAAAATTTGTTTATATGCACACAAATTATGTCAGCTATGATGAAATATCATTTATGCAAATACATCTAAAAGCCTGATGAAAAGTCTTTAAATGTCTGCAAATAGTTTCAATCCTTGATGCTATCCACAACTAATATAATGCATCATTTTAGCTGTATTGCAATCTTTGTCTTTAAAATAAGAAAGAAAAAGCAGCATTCACCATGTAATTTTGTGGCTTGCAATGATGACCTTTTATTAATGCATATTTACAGTGCTTAAAAGACTTAGTATTTGCTTTTACTTTCTCGTTTTCCCTATTAATCCTGGGATAAAAATCTTTCGTCTCCACTGTAACTGTCATTAGATCTGGGCTCTCCTTTCTTCTCATTTTGTCCTTATAAGGCTATCCTGTTTTATCACTTCCTGCTTCAGCTCCTGACTTTTTCTCTCTTCCCCTCGCCCTCTCCTGGGTGGATGCTTTTCCTCCATGTGGCTGGGCTGTAACTGTTCACAGCTGTCTGCAACGCCAGTGGACCTGGAGCAGCCTGGAGTTTTAACTTTCCTTTTGCAAAGAGCATCATGTTTGAATGTTTCAGCAGGCAAGTTATAACTGGCACTTACTTCTTGTTCTTCTAGAACACTGAAAATCTCCCCCAGCACTTTAGAAGGGGAATCCTGACTGTGTTAAAGAAGAAGTGGGAGAACCCAGGGCTGGGAGCCGAGTCTCTCCCAGACTCTCTTCGAAACAGCAGCACTGAGGTCAGGCACAGAGGCGACCGTCCTGCTGAAGTGGTGAGCAGCTCTGCCTCTGGGGCCGAGGCCAACCGGGAGGAGCGGGTCCACCCCAGACCGAGACGTGGGTCTCCTGCTGAAGCCCACACTCAGTATCCATACCCTCTCATTGAGGACAGTGAGCGTCTAAAAGACCACACACCAGAAAGTACAAAAATGGAAAATTGTCTAGTAGGAGAATCCAGGCATGAAGTAGGAAAGCCTGAAATCAGTGAAAATACAGAAGCTGTGAACAAAATAGAGAAATATAACGTTCCGCTGAACAGGCTGAAAATGATGTTTGAGAAAGGCGAACCAACGCAAACCAAGGTAAGGACTGGGAGGGTTTCAAACTTGCTAAAGCCGAATCAAGTAAATCAGCAAAGCTGGTTTCTAATCCGGACAGTTTGAGTGCTGGCAAGCGTAGTCGGTCTGTCTTTTAAATGAAGTTAAATGAGTTCATTAAAAACCTCACATTATTTGCATAGATGCTAAGATTTGTGAATCTCCAACCCGATTTCATGTGAAATCAAATGCACACTGGGCTTCAGGTTGATGTCCAGAAATGAAGAGAGTTTGATATGGTTGGGTTTTGTGTTTTTGTACGCTTGCCCTTTTAATTTGTCTTCCTGTGTCTTTTGTCATTTGTCGCTTTGGGGGCTGGAATTACTGCTGAATCGTTCTCTTGGACACAGCTGCAGGCTGAGTGTTAAGGCTAGAGTTTAACGTTAAGACTGAGGCTTAGTTGTCTCTGCTAGCTGAATCCCTCCTCTTCTTCTCAACTTCCTCATCTGTGCCTTCCAACAAATGTTTTCTATCAGCTAAAGTCCTCTCCCAGGAAAAATCAATGAAGATAGCCAGACTAGCTGTAGCCTTCAGGATTTTTGACTTGCAAATGCACAGGGTTGCATTTTCCTACAACTGCTAATGAAATTTGATCCTTCGTGTGGATTGCAGACCAGGTCCCCAGAGGGAATTACTTAACTAGAAAATGAGTTACATATGCTGGTGACTTATAACACAATCCAGGGGCCGCAGAACTGGTAAATTTTTCCAGTTTTCTCATACTTTCCTTCATATCTGGCTTTGTCCATGAGGACGGTTTGTTACAGCAGTCTTTATAATGAAATAAACAGATCTGATGGGAAGCAAAGCCATCATTTACGTTAGATTCTGTCTAGATGGGAGAGCTGAATATTTTTAACTATTTGGCCCAAATACCTGTATTTGTGAAGTAACAGTATGAAGCACTCTTTCTGAAATAAAAATGAGATACGTGTCCTATCCTCAATTATATTTGGAGATGACTTCGTTAGTCTTTTCTCATGAAGTGCGGTTCCTGGAGCTTTGCTGCCTAGAAATGTTCTTGAATTTTTAGGGCTCATCTATTTGAGAATGTAGGAAGAATCTTTAAAGGTTTGCAAACCTAGAACCCTCTTCTGTGAATGAATTTTAGCTCTATTTTAACACCGAATCCAGTTGGCAAGAGATGTAACCGCAAAGCAGTTTTACGACTTTTCTTAAGCTCTCATCCCTCCCAACTTTTAGTCCCTCCAGGCCTGCCAACTCCCTCTTTCTTCTTCATGGTCTTAATAAAAAAATTTTTTTTAATTTAAATGGGAAGAAGAATTTTAAATGGAAGGAAAAAATGTCAGAAATCCTAAATAGAGAGGAAGGGGCTTTGTTGTGACTCAAAGCACCATTGTACGTCTCCTCCTCACAGACCCTGCTAAGGGGCAGGATGGCTGATGTCACGCCTGCACACACAATGTAGATTCAGTGCCAAAGGCTGGTGCGTGTCAAGACTGGCCTAAGGTAGGAAATGACTGGGACTGCAGCAAACAAAAATGCTGATTATGCGTAAGGATTTTGTGAGAGACTTTTTTCTCGTAAATGCCTGGTGGGAGATGGGTCAGAACAAGCCTATCTCTTTGTGGCTGGCCAGAAAGAAGAAAAAACTCCTTATATAAAAAACTCTGAGTCCCCCAGCCCAATTTCATAGGCACTGGGCAGCTAATGGTCTAAGAAGATGGGGGGAGGGGAGAGCTGTCCTAAGATTGGGTTCTTTAAAGTGCCTTATCAAATTTCTTAATAGTCATTTGTCACTTAATGGATCGCTTGGGGCATGTAACACACTCAGCCCTTGGTTTTGTATAGCTGTGTCTAAATGAGTACCATTATCCATATTGGAAACAGTGTAGGTTACTTGAGAAAGTGTTGTCTAGTATCTCAGTAAAACTTAAAAATTTTGTCTAGGTTAAGGAATAACTAATCAGTTTGAAACTAGGGTATGGTTATTGTTAACATAATTTCAGCTTTAATATGGGTAAGGCTTTTTTAATCAGGAAGTCATATAACTGGATCTTTGGAAGGAAGCTCTGAGAAATATAGAAAAAAACACCAGAAATCTTTTTAGGAGCAAGAGTATACAGGTAAGAATGTCCACTTCTGGTCTGACCAATTAGTACCTCAGTGAGATAAAGGACTATTATTGGGAACATACTGTGTGAATCTTTGGTACCATAAATGAACTTTATAGAACTGGACTGAGTCTCAGCTGACTAGCTGAGCAGAGTGCGGGAGCACATAGAAATGGAAACGCACAGTCTAACGTTGGGTCCTCCTGAATCTTTCTATCAGAGTCATTTACGGGAGACTAGGTCCACCGGCGTGAGTCTCACTTTTCTTGGTCTCGTCCCTTTTGTTGTAGATGGTTTCAGTTCTTGTCCACTCTCTTCCTGATCTTTTATTTGCCCTCCTGTTTTTATTTTTAAGGTTTTTTCTAAAGTTTATTTTTAGAGAGAGGGGAAAGAGAGGTAGAGAAACATTGATCAGTTGCCTCTCTCACACCCCCATCCGGGAAACCCAGCCACAGTCCCTGACCCAGAATCTAACCAGTGACCTTGAGGTTTGTGAGAGGACACCCAACACACTGGGACACACCAGTCAGGGCTATCCTCTTGTTCTCTCTCTGTCTCTATCTCTCTTTTTCTGTCCCCCCCACCCTCTCTCATCTCATCTCTTTCCATGACTCCAAGAAATGAATGTCCAAACTAGATTCTAATCTTGAACTCTTAACCCAAGCTTCATTCAGCCTTATATTTCTGGTTGTCAGCCAGATCAGACATCTCTCTGTGTATGCCCCTTAGGCACTCCAATTCAAGAATGCTAAGAAAAATGATCTTTCCAACCAAAACCTGCTTTACCTATCACGTCCCTTAATGCACCACCATTCACCAAATCTCCTTGTCTGTAAAGCTGGAAATCAGTTTGTCCTTCTGTCCGCCTCCTCTTCTTAGTTACTTACTAAGCCGTGTAAGCAAGTCTACCCTCTACACACTTCTCAAGTATGGACCATTCTGTCCAATCCCATAGCATTGCTATAGCCTCCCCTGTTGGCTTCTCATTTTGTTCTTCCCGTGTTCTTCCACACTGTTGCTATTTATTTTTCTAAATAAAGTTGCAAATTATGTTACTCACTTGATCAGAAGTTTTCGATCCCTCAAAATTAGTCCATATTTAATAATCAGGTCTTCCACAATCTGAACGGAATCCACCTTCCCAGTCTCACAGCCAGTCTTAGTTGCAAACCCTGGATTATTCTTCATTCTTAAAATTATTCCTGCTTTCCCCATAGTTGCTCCCTTTTAAAATCTTAGTCCTCAAGGTCTATTAAGACTATGAAGCCTTACCTGTTTCTCCCAGGTATATTAACCCCACTTACTCACTCTCTTACAGAATTTTCTTTTTATTTCCTTTTGGCTACTTATATTATGCTTCCTTTACTGGTCATGCATAAATTTGTATACTTTCCAGTCTACATTTTCTTGCAAAGTGATGATGTGTTCCTTCTCTAGTCGTCAGCCCAATGATTTGGCTCTTAGTGTTTATTTAATAAAAGGAGGAGTCACTGGTTCGATTCCCAGTCAGGGCACATGCCTGGGTTGCAGGCCAGGTCCCCAGTAGGGGACACATGAGAGGCAACCACATATTGATGTTTCTCTCCCACTCTTTCTCCTTCCCTTCCCCTCTCTCTAAAAGTAAATAAATAAAATATTTTTAAAAATAAAAAGAAAAGAAGCTTAGAACTCAATAAAAAGAATCAATTAAAAATGATTTCTCACTTATTTTCCCGCTTCAGTGGGTAGGTTGTCAGCTGGTTTAGTTGGATGTTATGGCTCTAATTCCAGTAAGCACAGGAGTGACGGAAAATGTAACCTGTCATCATTACTAGGAAAAAGAACCCCTCCAGTGACGTACACTGAATGTGGTTTAGCATCCCTAACTTCCTGTATATGCTGATCATTGTTTTATGTAGCTTAGGTGACTATTATGGGCACCTTTTATTAAAAACATAGCTGATTAACTAGTTCTAATGAATGTCCAGTTATTGTCATATTGACATTTGAATGCATAACCTTTAGAAGCCAGGATGAGGTTATTTAAAAATTAAAAACCTCTTCTTCCATGGCCAGGAATAATAAAGCAAGGAAGGAGCATGTGACAAGTTCCTTAAGTGTGGATTTTTTCTGTTTGTTTCCTAACATAGTTGGTTCACACAAATCAGTGGATAAGAGAATAAAGACCAAGTATTTAGATGGTATATTTCTACCTTCGTAACCTATTTAAATGATTGTTTTTTGCTTGGATCAAGATTGAACCAATTAAGTGCCATGTGAGAAAACAGGGCTGGACTATGGATGTCCCTTGATTCTTTGACACCAGCTCTGACTGCTGCTTCTTCCAGGTGTTTCCATCTTCTGGGAGCATAATTAATAAAAGAAGGAGAAAAGGAGAGAAGAAGAAAGAATGCCTCTCACAAAAAAAAATTCCTATTTTGTAAAATACATAAATACACACTGCTCACCCTGTGGGAACTAACAAAGGAGAGGAGGCAGTCATGATAAGGCAATAAGTGAATGGAATTAAAACTATTTAGAAAGAAAGTTTTCTCTCTACCTTTTCCCCTATTTTATTTATGGTATATTTTAATGCTTCTAATTAGTCATGTTTTAATTGTGTTGTTTTATATTTCAAAGGTAAATAGTTCAGTCAGCTAAAAACAGAAGTATCTGAAATAAAAATGGGAATTTCCCTTGTCCACCCACTTTTCACTCTTTTGCTACTTCCCTCCCCTTAAACTTCTAAAGCCATGAATTTCCCTTAGAATTTCTGTTACTCTTCTCATCAGGACCATATATTAATGGCGATCATTAAAATGCCAACAAAAACTTCACTTGTTAATATGAGAATTCAACTATCCTTCTTTAAACAGTCCAACATTTTTGTGGTTTTCCTTCTTGTAAGTTCCTGGAAGTGACACTTAGTAT